CCCACCTACCACTCTGCCTCCTTCCTACCCCACAATAGTGGGGCTCATATCCTTTAACCTGGATGTTTGTTGGCAATCAATGACAACTTGGCGTCTTAGTACTTAATGGAAGTGCGTAAAACATCGGGAAACTTACGACATTTTTAACCGCAGTAATTTAGATGACAAAGTTGCCATAAATTTTACCCATGGCTAAATTTAAATTTTTAGCGTTTGAATAACAATTAATATGTCACCTTTATTGCGCTAATACGAACAATAAGTTTATAGAGGGCTAATTTAATTTTATTGAGCAATTGTATTAAGTACCTATGTTTTGAAGATCAGTGAACTCATTTTCAATTAATCAAGATATGCAAAATGATTAAAAATCAAACAAAGGCGTTTACCCGAAGACAACGCAGTTTTTCTTACATATTGAATTACTAATTGAATTTGGTAGACAAATTTTAAATGTGTAAAAACCTTATTTTAAAAAAATGCCAAATTTAGATTTCATTATGTCCATAGCGCCAAGTATGAATAATCGCAATATGACTTTTGAGATGCATTTTCCGACAGATTTTCCTTCCTATTTGTTTTGTTTTATTTCGATTTTGTAATTATCACGCGGGCTCTTTGTCACGCTACGTGGCGTGGCGTGGCGTGGGGGGGGGCATTTCCTTGCATTGCGTAAATGCACGGAATTGGGTAAATGTGCTCGTTTACTGTCTTTGTGTATCCACTAGGAATGGTGCGCCTTCTAATTAGCAGGAGTAAGAATGGTGAGAATTTAGGATTATGGGTTTGAACGCTTCAAATTCTGGAGATAAAGCATTACCAAAGGTGGCGCTTTGGGCTTCTTATAAAGGAATTTAGACTGATTAGTAGACTGAGAAACCGAGACGATGAATCCCTTATGACAAGTAAAGGAAATTAGACAACACTTGAATGATGTGATGGAATCTTTTTGCATTTCCATAGTCTAATAAAAAAGTTAATTCACTTATAAGCTTCCATGGCCATTTGGGCAAATATTCCCAGCGTGATTTCTTTTTGGAGGATGAAGAAGAAGAAGAAAGCCCCATTGGGTCTTCCTGTCGAAGGCCCCGACGTCTGCCTTCACTTAGTCTTCCCTGATCTCTTCGATTTTGCAGGCAGGTGCTTCAATCGCTTCACCAGTGGCTTACGCCTCTTTCCAAGTGCTCTATTGAAGTGATTTTTAAGACCACTTGTACACATGTTTAAGAATGACATATCGATGGTTAATTGGGGTGGGAGGGGTTGGGGGGTTGGGGGGGAAGGGGGG